TAATATATATATATATAATTAATATATATATATAAATTATATATATATATATATATATAATTAATATATATATATATACAAATGTAAAAATGTCATTTTATAGGTATGTTTTATTTATGGGTTAAAGTGCTCAATATCTGGGATAGAACATATGTATATAAAAGTGGACATTGATGTCAACACTCAACGGCGACAGTTGTTTCAAGCTTAAAAGCAAATCTTCATGGCCTGAACATTGCCTTTTAAGCATGACAGACTGTTGCTGCCGCTGAGTGTTGACATCAATGTCCACTATTATATTTTATATATATAACTATACAAATGTTATAAAAAAATAAAACAGTACAAATGTTCACACACACACACTTGTTTCATAAGATACAGTTTTTTCGTTAGTATTATTTTTGTAAAAGTAATATATATTTCTGTTGCATATTGACGGTTATCAAGGGCTTTTTTACATAAATAAATATTAGTAGAATTTTGAAGTATCCACTTTCTACCTTTTTCAGCTTTAAAAGTTTGAGTTTGGTAAGAATGAATTAGGAGCCAATCAGCTATTTTTAGTTAGAAATGAAATAAAAACAAAATATTTCGTAAAATAGAAAGAAGTTTATAATTTTAAAATAAGATCATAGCCGTCCTTGTAACTGATAATATTTTCTATTGGTACAACTATGTAGGCATCAATCCCTCTTTTATACAAGTTTCATTATAGAACGACTGACAAAGTACTAAGATTAAGCTTTATAATGGCTAACAAAATTCGGACAGATTTTGCCATGAAAACCAATTATATGAATGCAAGAAAATTTGAATAAAAGGCTTAATCGCAACACTTTGTCAGTCGTTTTTAATTAGACTTGTGTACATCTATTCTTAAAAAACATTTATAAAATGCAACGGTATGAGGTCATCAGTGATCTTACCCTGGTTTCATTACGGAGTTCGGATATTGCCACATCAGATCCGTTCTGCCAGGTACCCCGACACACACACACACACACACACACACACATATATATATATATATATATTTGAAGAAATAGTTTTTTAAGGTATGTTATATTTATAATAAAGTGTCAATATCAGAGATAGAGCGTGTGTAAATATAAAAGTGAACATTGAAGTTAAAACTCAGAGGCGACAGGCTGTTTCATGCTAGACACACACACACACACACATATATATATATATATATATATATATATATATATATATATATATATATATATAAAAAAATATAGAATCCAACAAAAAGAGGTGATAGGTTTTTTACGTTAAACGCAATCATCAGGTCGCCTGATGACTACGTTTAGCATGGAACAATCTATAACCTCTGAGTTGGCTTTAATGTTCATTGAATATTCAGTTTCTCATTCGTCACCGAGGCCTGTTGGTAAGATGTTTGCGTTGTATCGAAACGGTTCACGTTCGAATCTCGATGATGAATTCCAAAAATAGGACGAAACGGCCGTCCAGTGCCTTCTGCGTTTTCCTGAGAATTCTCCTAGACTCGACGAATTACTATAATGATTTGCCTATATATATACATATATATATATATATATATATATAGGCAAATAATTATAGTATATATATATATATATATATAAACGCGTCGGGTAAGATAAGTTTTGCATTTGTATTTATTTATGATGGATGCATAAAAATATTTGTGCGTGTATATATATATATATATATATTATATCTATATTATATATATATATATATATATTATATCTATCTATCTATATATATATATATATATATTATATCTATCTATCTCTCTCTCTCTCTATATATATATATATATATATATATATATATATATATATATATATCAGTAACACAGTATTTTTATAATTATAAAATTCTAACATTAAACGATAATACTATTGGTTATATGCAGTCTCGAGTTCTTCAGAAAGTTAAGTTAAATGGCCTTTTTTTACGTTTCCTCCACGTGTAAAATAGTTTATTTTCTGAATGATAAGAATTATATGCCATACGTGTGTGTGTGTGGGGGAATCAGGATTTAAGAAATGCTTAGATGGTGCCATAGCCAAAAAGTCGGGAACCTCTCCTCTACACTTTATATTTTCATACCTTGAAAATGACCAATGATAGCCAAAAAGTAATCGGGACATAACATACAATTTTAGTAAGTGACCTGTCCAATTCCCACCTGATACCAAACGACTAGTTCGATACTCCAGGGAAGACACACATAATACATACAAAACGTGGATGACAATAATATTCTTTGTATACTTTTTATTTTTTAATATAGTATTAGCTGTCATGTGAGAACGTAATGAAGGACCTTGATAATCACATTTTTTTATTTTTTACTTGCTCTAGTAGCCTTTGTCAGTTTTGTCAATATTAAGTACTGGAAAAAGTTGCAAAAGCAATCGAAATTTTAGTAATTTCCAAAGAACCTTATTTTGTCTCAAAATTAACTAAATAAAAAGAAAAAAATATTTCTGACATCTACTTTCAAAACAATATATGGAGCAGATATGAATATTTGAGAGTGTGTGTGTGTGGATTCAGGACAAATTTTTTTTCTATCTTTTTTTTTAACCGATATACCCAAAGGACATGTATACAACATTGTTTTATGTGAAATGCTATTTTCTTTTCAAATTTATTCAATTATTTTTAGCAAGTGTTCATCGTAACCACAAGTTTGGAAGTTTTTGGAATTTGCTAACGTATACCATACGATTTCATATATTGGGTGTCCATAAAGTTCATGTGCACTTTAAAAAACTTATAACTTTATTTGTATTTGCGATAGAAATTTGTAAAAATGATTAGAAAGAAGTAAATCTATATTTTTAAGGTTTTATTGAAATTTTATTTAAGTTTCCACATGTCCTCCATTATTAACAATACAAAGGGGAATAAGATTTTGCAGTTCACGGAAAATATTTGCCAACTGATTTACAGTAATGCCTGAAATCACATTAATTATGTTAGTTATACTTAAAACTTTATGACATTTTTTACAGATTATTTCTAAATGACTCAGTTTTCACTATATACGAAATTTATATATGCATCGATTATATGTTTATTAGGTTTTTCGTCCAATGTGATTAGAATTCATCAAGTTTCAATATACATAAGAAAAGATCCATACATATATATGTATGTATATATACTCATGTTTATATATGTATGTATATATACACATGTATATATACAAGTATATTCATATATGCATGGATATACATATATGTCTGTATATATATGTATATATGTGCATTTCTCTATATATGTATGTATATGTGCATCTATATACATATGTATATAGATGCACATATATACATATGTATATATGTGCATGTATATATATATATATGCATCTATATTTATATATATATGCATCTATCTATATATATATGTGAGTGTGTGTGTATCTGTATATATAACTATATATGTGAATCTATATATATATATATCTTTCTATATATATCTATATGTATCTATACACACACACACATATACATATGCATACATATATTTGTATGTGTGCAGACATATATATGTGTGTATATATATGTATATATATATATATATATGTATACTTTATATGTCTATATATATATCTATACACATATGTGTATACATATGTATATACATATGTGTATACCTATGTGTATAAATTTATTTTTATACATATGTATATATATTTGTATGTATAAGTATATATATATATATATATATTAATTTCGATAAACGCAATCAATTTACAAATTCATGAACTATTCACACAAAAACAAATGCAAAGGTTAATGATTTAATTGGCGAGAAATCCATCGTCGCAAACAATTCAAATAATATAAAAAAACCTCCGAATCCGTTATGAATGAAAAGATCCTTGTTTCCATAAATTTCTGCCGCATTAGTTCTTATTTTTACTACAAGCTATATATATATATATATATATTTGTATGTATGCATATGTGCATATATATATATATATATATATATATATATATATGTATACTAATTCATATGTGTATGTGTGCATACGTTCATATATATATATATATATATATATATATATATATATATATATATATATATATATATATATATACATACGTATGTATTATTACTGCATTTTCCCTTTATAGGATAAACCACACTTGATTCGTTGTCCTTATACTGCACTTCGACGTTCCTTTGTTAAAGTCTCTCGAAAGTGCAGGTTGGCAGATGGAATTCACACGTCTATTCAAACATGGATATCAGCTAAAAGAACATTTAGAGCAATAAGCCATAAGATCGATTAAAAATGAAAAAAAATTGCCAATTCACCTGGAACACATGAGATCTTCCTGATCAATGAAAAACAACACAGAACCCACAGTACTGGAACCTTATCTTCCATATCTAATTTCCAACAATGTCTGATGAAGCTTAAATAAAATTGAAACACGTTAAAAATTAAAAAAACAAAACGTTTCGTCTTTATTATACAGGTTGCGGCAGAAATACCTCCGACATATTAATTAGATTAAGACATTATTGCTGTAATGTCTTACCGTTATCTGGTATGTGAGAAATATTTCTGTCGTGCCCTGTTTATACGGGCCAGGATTTTCAGATGTTTCAAAACAGCCTAACGGATCCTTACCACTTGCGAGACTAAAACAAAAACAAAAACAAAAAAAAAAGAAGTGACACCAGCGTCTGGCCATCATTACTACCATTCATTCTTTGTGCTGTGCACAGCTAGGCTTAGAAATAAATACATATAATAGTAAAGAGACCCTCCATATTATTCCCTTTTCTTTTGAATATGTAAAAAAAAAAAAAAAATCCATGGCAACACCATATAGTTCGACTCTTTATGTAAAATTTTAGGACTGGTCTTAGTGTAGACATGACGTTATAATTACGACCTAAGCTAGGGTCACTGCTTTAGAGATCGAACCCGAGAATGCTAATTCTAAGGAAGGGGAAGAAGAACGTTTTAACAAATGAGCAGTGATATTCAACCCGCCAACAACCGAATGGTAGTAGAAGCAAGAGAATAAAGAAGGTAGCACGTCCCCACACCGCTCAGCTTTTTCTTCCATCGCAGAACTCACCAGAGTCATTTGAAATGACAAAGTGACCTCAATACACGATCATGAACTTTATATTACGGCGATATAGTACGTTAAAGTATATAAACACTCCTCTTCCTCCTCCTCTTTTTTACTTTGGTATCAGAATCTATGTCAATCTCTCTCTCTCTCTCTCTCTCAATCAAACATACACACGGAGCCTGAGAAAGGAGAGAGCGAAGGAGACAAGCAGAGAGTGAGCGAGAGAGCAAGCGAAAAAAGGCCCCAGCCCTGCCTAAAAATCTGCCTTCCTCTCGATGAAGAATCGACCCTGTGTGAGTCGTATACCCGAGCAGCAACGGCCTACAATTTCTTTTTCCTCCTCCTCCTCCTCCTACTTCACCACCACCACCATTCAATTTGCTTCTTTTCCATCATCTACAGATTCAGCCAATCAAGTTTCAGTGCACTATCTGTGTAATAATGTAACGAATAGATCTGGGGTGGTGGGTTGTTTTTTTTTTCAATAGTTCTGACAATTGCGATTCTCGTGTGTGCGTGTGTGCGTTTGAGGAGAGAGAGAGAGAGAGAAAGAGAGAGAGAGAGAGAATATAAATAAAGGAGATGTGGAAAATTTATTTATTGAGTAAATTTAATTTAAATATTACCTTACCTTCATTTGGCCTAAGTGTATAATTGCGAGACAGCCCTACAGTTGAATGACACCCACAAGCTATAAGTGGATATATGTAAATTTTACACACTGTAACCATATATATATATATATATATATATATATATATATATATATATATATATATATGTGTGTGTGTGTGTGTGTGTGTGTGTGTGTGTGTGTGTGTGTGTGTGTGTGTGTGTGTGTGTGTGTGTGTATAAACCCTGGTGTTTTTTTTTAGAATATTAAGAATCATGCGCAGATTGCACACGATCGTATGCTATGCGAGAACACTCAGTACAGGAAGGTTTGTATCTCACGCTCATATATAATAAATAATGATATACAATCTTTCTCGTGTGTGTATATATGTACACACACACACACACATCAAGCATGAGAAAGAAAGAATGAATAAAATTAATTACGCATATGTGTGTGTACGAATACATGTCTGCACTCATGTGTGCACTTGTCAGCCAAACGACTTGGTGTGTACGTAACTGTGTCTAAAAATAAATAAACAAATGACTGGACACCCGATCTTTCTTTCAATCTTATAAAAAAAAAAAAAAAACTTAACTTTGCCGCTTTAACCAATTCCCACACCGACCATAATTGTCTGTTATATATACATACATTATGTATATCTTTCTCCCTCCAGAGAAATGAGTAATAATATTTAGTTTTTAGTACTAAATTAGTAGCACAGTCCCAAATAAAATTGAAACACTTTAACGTTTTTTTTTTTTTATATGTCTCTCAGATTTAGAAATCAAATGTGTAAAAAGCAAATATCTCCTTTTTTTTTTTTTAACTCGTTTGTACTAAAAATCAAAGCATGTGGCTACTTGCACCCAAGGATTTTTCTCGGGTGTATGTAACCAAATTCTAATCTCTTTGGTACACAAATACGAATGGATGTAAAGTAAATATTAAAAAAAAAAGTCAGTGTTAAAACGATTTTCCAGAGTGAAAAAAATAAAAGTAGGCAAATGAATAAACAAAGAAAACTCGTGGTTATGTCTCGAATAAAAAATCGAATTATTTGTCTCTAAACAAAGCCGATGCTGTAAATCCGATAGCATATATATATATATATATATATATATATATATAAGTAACTATTATTCAGTTTATTTGCGGATGCACACACATTGAAACAATAAATAATGTCATTACGCGTGAGACAGTGAGTGTCTGTGTGTGTCCTCAAAGAAACAAAAGATTAAATTGTATAACGTGTCCAGAAAGTGGATTTAATCAAGCAAGAGCTGTCTTTATAAAAACAAAAACAATATATATATTTTAAAGATTCAAACGGAAAAAAAGAGAATATAATATTGAAGGCTAAAAAGGACAAATTCAAATGTCTAACGTACCACCGCCGTTACAACGATCAGTCATATGCATTTTAAAGAGGATAAAAGTCGATCTGTTTCAGTTTAATAAAAAAAAAGAAGATAAGTAGCTGTTTTTTTTCTTTTTTGTT